GGTGGAGGCTCCTTCCCTGGAGATGTTCAACCTGCCTGGATGGACCCTGTGCCCTGGGTGTCCCTGGAGAGCAGGGGTTGGTCTGGGTGATCTCTAGAGGCCCCTTCCAGCCTCAGCCTTTCTGTGACTCTGTGTGTGATTCTCCTGGTTTCCGATTAGCTTCGCTGGGAATCTGGCCTCTCCCGTGTTCGGGAGCAGCCCTGCCTTGCTGAGTGCTTCCCTTGCCTGTTATCGGTGGGCAAGTCCAACTGGTCTTTGTTTTGGATATGAGCTATTGTAGCAGCTTCAACTTAAGAAGTCTTGATGGTTGTATTTTCATGGCTACTTACTGCCTAGAAGCATTTTTTTTTTCCAATTCTTTAGAGAAAAAGATATTGTCTGCAAATCTATTGTGCTGAGGTAAATACTAGCTTTGCTAGTTTTATTTTGATAAAAAAAAATCAGTTATCTCTCTATCTGAGGTAAATACTAGCTTTGCTAGTTTGATAATAAAACATCAGTTATCTCTCTACGTAGAAAGCTTTTTGGAGGCTTTGGGTATTAACATAAAGAGTAAAAATATTTTCTTTACTGCTAAATGAAGTGTTCACTCTCCTTAAATGACTTAATTTTTGTTCCTTTTTAGGTACAAGATTGTTGAACTCTTTTTCTACTTGGCAATGGGATTTTCTCCTGCTCTGGTAGTGACATCCATGGTAAGGAATGCAGTTAACTTTATATGAACTTTCCTTTTGTAACAGATTTTAAGTTCCAGTGCAGCTGTAGTTTTCTGAACAGATTTTAACTTCAGTCTAGCATAACTATACATGCTTGCCGTAGAAGAACCAAATATCCAGTTATGTTCTAAGTTTGTAGTTCAAATTCAGTGAAGTGCCACTTTAAGTTTGGTTTTTTTATCCAGAGTGTCAATTAAATAATTTAGTTTGAGGCTTCATGAATATTCCCATATCCAAAAATATTGCACAGAACAATTTGTTTTTTTTTATTAAAAATGAGAAAGATAGGAAGTATGTTAATCTGTAGAAGCAATGTTTTTCGATTTTGCTATTTATGAACTTATGTCTGCTCACTACTTGCAAGTTATGAAAGAAGGTTTTATTTTGGAAAGTGAAATGCACATCTGCCAACATATGTTGTGCTCTTCTTCCTGTTACACTTAAGAGCTTGAAAAACTAATGTGTGTGTTCTTTCTCCTGGACTAAGAACAAAGTAAAATGAGAAAATGAGTCAAAATGCCTTAAGTGGAACAAGTCTAGAAGACTTTTTTTAAAAAAAAATCTATTACTAGGCCTCTTTCCTTTTAAATCAGTGAAGCAGAGCAGAATTGAAATGTTGAGTAGCTGAACTATATCAAACTTATGTAGCTGATGCACTGTATCTGAGCTATTTCATTTATCGGCAAATTGAGATATATATTCCCCGGTGCATCTGGAAACGGGTAAAAAACCTTTCTGCCTGTCTCCTGCACCTCAACTTTGATTCTTTATGTGCATTTTAAACAACTCTGAAGAACTCTTTCCTGAAAATGTAAATCAGATTCATAAGGTATAACTTTCCAAATCTATGCTCTACAAAGGCCAGATTTCCTAGAGTCTGCAGTCTGTTTAGAGCTGTGTATCTGGGGTATAAAGGTCATGCCAGTTACAGTACTTCAGTCATTTTTCACATTAAATTGGTGTTATATCAAAATGCTACTTGATAATTCATTGAGCTAGTAGAATTGGTCACATTCAACTCGTGTTCATATGCAACAGTGGAGTTTTATTTTTCTCTATATTTGCCTGTTCTACCAGCCAGCAACAGACAAAATGTCAGGCTTACCTTGTGTTATCTTACTGTACCTTCTGTAGTGCCAAGTAAAATAAATACATATTTAGATTAGTTTGAAATATGTACTAAGCAAATCATTTTTGCCACTTGTCAATCTGAGTGGGTCAAACCTACTATTCAGGATGTTTTGAGTTATGCCATCCAGGCCATCCTGAGGAAGAAAAATGCACTTTAAGTAAAATACTCTCTTCCTTCCTTACACCACGCTCCTAACTTCTCCTTATTAACTGGCAGAGCAACACGGATGGACTTCAGGAGGTCGCCTGGGGAGGCCTGATATACTGTCTGGGGGTGGTGTTCTTCAAGAGCGATGGCATCATCCCCTTTGCCCACGCCATCTGGCACATGTTTGTGGCCACAGCAGCTGCAGTCCATTACTATGCTATTTGGAAGTACCTTTACAGGAGTCCTGCCGACATCATTCGCCACTTGTGATACCTGGGGGCGCAGGACAAGTGAATCTGCACTTGGCCTCTGTAGCAGTATTATTTGACTTAAGGAATTGGGGGAAATTGGGAAGTTGCACAAGAAAAAATGCACTGACTTTGATAGTTCTCTGAACACAATTACTGTGAACCGATGTTGTATGTGTCCTGGAATTGCCCTTCAGATATGGCAAGTGCTGTAAGTAACCACGATCCTGAACTGCAATACTAAGAGTCCATTCCACATTAGTAGAACCGGCTACCTGATGTTTACAAATAAATTTTGTATTCTAGTTTAATTTTACAATTTTTAAATATATGAATCTTTTCTAAATTAGTGATTCAAATTGTGAAGTCAGTGCAATAAGAAAAATGTAACTCTTTATTTGAAATTAGTTTCTATCACTTTCCACTAGTCATTCACTAAAGGTGAATCGCAGCTGGATGGTCTACTTCTGCCACCCGTTATCTTGGTATAATGCGACTTTTATAAAACTCATCGTGTTTTTTTGTAAACTTTAAATACATTTTTTGAACTGAAAACACACAACTGTCATCTATGCAGTTATTCATATTGCAAAATCTTGCAAGAAATGGTTACATTCCACATACTGTACTGACAAGCAAACATACCTCTCCAAAGGCTGTATTACGTGTAGAGTTGTAATAACCACTTTTACAGACTAAAAATCTAAGTGTGATTCTGCCAGGTTTTAACATGAACACGTTGGTAATACTACTGCTAATCTATAGTACCGCAGGCACAGCACCTTGATTTGGCTGTGCTGATGGAAGTAAGTGCTTTAAAGAACCCGGAGCGCTGCTTTGTCTCCAGATCCCCAGTGCTGCCGCGTGCTGCACACCTGGGCAGCATCTGCACGAGAGCAGCCTCATCAGGGCTTGGCAGCATGAACCAAGGGGGCCAGTTAATGCCCTGCTATCCAAGTTAAGAGAGTTGGTAGTGTCCCCGAAGTCGGTACACGCACCGGTGCTGTAATACTAAGGCTTTGGTTTTCAAAGGGATTATTATTAAAGTTTCCACCAGCTTTTGTTGGGATCATTTGCTGGGAAAGCAGGTACTGAGCAATCGCTGACCACTAAATTCCTGGTTGTTGGTTCTTTGTAAGTGTAGCCTTCCAGGGAGGGAAGTGTGGAGAACTCAGCACAGGTCACTCATCGTTCGGAGCCCTCACATGGAGTAAAACTGGTCTTGACCCGTATGCCGAGTTTCTGTATAGGAAAACAAAAATGTGGTAGTGAGTCATGATTGTGGAACATGTGCATCAAATGGCCAGATGTGGAAGCCTCATTGTAATACTGTTTGTCCAATAACTGTATCCTGTCCCACTATATTATGAATGTCTTATATTAAGATTGACTTTTATCCTTTTTCTAATTTACTCACTTTTTCATGTCAGTGTTGAAAAACAAAACGTGTTGCCTTTTTCAGATTTTGTTCTGGATATTGCCTGTCTTCAACAATAGGTAATAAATAGGGATGTTTTTCAAGGTACTGTTTAATACTTCATCTAGATTTGCCAGCAGATTGCATATTTTAGAATTATACATTTGTATATGAAATTTGCAAGAGGGACAAACTTCAGAATCAAGGCACTGAGAAGGAGGGAATCGCTGTGGGTGTTGGCGGGCGATGGGGAAGGCGGCACCGCTGCAGCAGGCTGGTTCCCTGCCCCAGAAAAGTACAAGGAAAACGGCCGGGCAGGAAATTCCTACAGGCTCAAACATCTGGATGCCTCCGTTTTTTAACATTGCGTCTATTTTAATAACTTCACTTTTTGTGACTTCATATACTTTGTTTAAATGCAGTATTGTTCAAACCACTAAAATACTCGTAAGTTTTCTGTAGTCAAAAATGCAACTATTGATTGAATATATTTGTTTTAATTTTAAGTTAATTTTTCATGGCATTGCTTTTTTTGGAGTGTTTGAAATGGGTTTTTAAAAATATTTGAATTCGCCAAAATCTTTTGAATTACTGTATTCTGGTCAATATGTTATTAAATGTCCTAGACCAAACAATAAACATTTTGTGCGATTTAGAAGCCTGTGTGTTCTTGTAATCTTTCCCCGGTACTTAGTACTCCAAGGGTTTGTTTCCTGCACACAGGCAGGAGTGCCTGGCCATGTCGCTGCTCCTAATGATGCTTCTGCTCCTTTGACTCCTTTAACAATAGTATTAATGATAATGCAGAACTTGTGGCCGCGCGGGCAGCGGCTCCCCCTGGC